AAGAAGATATCCAACTATCCAATAAGCACATGATAACATGATCAAAGTCATGTTTTAAGGGAAATTCAAATCAAAATTACTAGGAATTACCACTGTATAGCCACTAGAATGGTGGTACTTTTTAAATGATACAAAAAAAAATGTGTTCACAGGGATATGGAGAAATTGCAAACTGCACACTTTGCTCGTGAATATGCAAAGTGGTGCAACTACTGTGGAAAACTGTTCATTCCTCACTAAATTAAACATGTGAACAAACAAATCTGCTCCTGGATTATAACCAAAAGAATTGAAACAGATGTTCAAACAATCATTTGTACATAAATGTTCATAGTAGCATTTTTCACAAGCGTCAAAAGGTGGAAACATCACAAATGTCCACCAAGTGATGAATGGATAAAAAGATGTGGTACGCCCATACAATGAAATATTATTTCTCTTAAGAAATGAAGTACCGATACATGCTGCAGCACGGATGAACCTTGAAAACACTGTGATGAGTGAACGAAGCCAGACGCAAACCACCACATCTTTCATAATTTATAGGAAAACTTCAAAGCAGGTGAAAACATTGAGACAGAAAGCAGATCAGAGTTTTATAGGGGCTGGGAGGACAGCGGAATGGACAGTGATTGCTTAATGAGTATGAGATTATCCTTCTGGGGCGATGAAAATATTCTGGTGATGGTTATACAACATCTTGAATGTACAAAGTGTCACTGAACAGTACAATATACAAGGGTTAAAATAGTAAATTTTATGTTAGGTGTATTTTTCCACACACATTAAAAAAAGAAAAGTAAAAACATTTGAATGGGGGGGTGTGTGTCCAAAGAACAGCAGGAACTGTCCACACCTCTAGTGCTGACCAATTCGATCTGTTTCTGGAATGATACATTCTCTGAGTATCTTCACTTTATAGTGTGATTTTGATTCCCAACTGCTCGTGCAGAGCGAAGGTTGGTGTGGTTCACCGAAATCTGAAACCCTTGATCTGTTTGGTCCCAGAAACGACTCATTCCCTTCTCACTGAGCATCAGAAGCACAACTGGCTCTAATTCTCAAGTGTCTTCCTTGACAACAAAGCCACACACACAAAAAAAGCTGTGAAAAGTGCTCAAGAGAAGACGTCCAAGGTGCTATCAGGATGTAATGAGGTTACAGACCACATCCTCAGAGTTCAGGGACATTTCATGTGGGCAACATTTAAACTGAAAGCTGCTGTGGGGGTGGTGCGGGGGCCGTGAATAGAACGCACATGAAGAGATTGGAGAGAGGGTCAGACAGAAACCATCATGCGTGAACCCTGGAACTTGTGGATGTGGGGGGCACAGACACTGATGCTGGGGCACAAGTAAGAGGGAAGAGAGTGGCGAGGCGTACAGCTGAGGACTTGGCGGTTGAGCCGTGGGAGACATTTTGGGTTGTAATAAGCAGTTATAATAAGTTGGGGGCAAGGGGGAACCATGAGGAATGGGCAGGACACTTGGCATCATTGCCCTCCACTGAGGGCCTCCTTGTCTGCAGAGGCTGGGAAGATTCAGACTGCCTTTCCCACACGGCCTTGCGGCTGGAATTCTGGGTGTATTTGAAGCTCTGGGCATCACAGCCAGGTGTTTCCCCAGCAGCACCCGTGAGTTTAGGCAATAGCTTTGAGGTGCTGAAAAGCCACTAAGCAGAAACAAGGGTGTCCAGATCCTGGATCACAGCTCAAGAGCGCTGTCTTGAGTATCATTCATGGAGACACAGCCTAGAGCCTGTTGCTCCAGCCACTCCTATGACATGTAGGCTCTTAATTCACTATATCATGTGGAGGATGCAACCAGGGCTGGGTCTAGCCAGATCATCCATTCTTTCATCACTTGAAGTCACTTTGCAGGGAGCAGGGGTCTCTTTCTGTAATCCCAGGGATATGGTTGGTGCAAAGGGTTGACACAGGCTCCCCATCAGCCAGCAGAGGAGGAACCTCCTGGCTCTGGGGAGCCCCAGCCCCTTCTCCTGCATCCCTGACCTTCTCTCCATACACCTGAAAGTCTACCTCATTCCTGCTTGTTTCCTGGGAGGGGCTCCCTAAGGCCAGATGGAAATAACACCCAGATACTGCCAGGAGGAAAATCAAGTCTATTTATTCCTGGGGCAACAAGGAAGCCAGTGGGGAATCCAGTGAGAGCAGGAACTGACAGCATCACCTTGGGTTTCACACCCAGGAGCCCAGCTCTGTCAGTCCCAAGAAAGGGCACATGGGAACGTTAACCTGGGTCTTCCCCAGGGTTGTCTATGAGCAGAGGCTGTCCTTCCTAGATGGGCTGGGCCAGGGATGTTCGGAGGCCCCCGGACTGGGGTTCAGGAGACCTGGGTTCTAGTCCAGCCTGAGTCACTGACCAGCAGTAAGACCTCGGGTCAGTGTCTTCCTTGGATTCAGGGAACAGAATGAGAGAATAAAACAAATGGCTGTTTGAAGTCAGAAGTAGAACTTTCTCTAGCCATAAGCAGTGGCAGGTCCCGACACCAAATGACGGCTCAATCAACACAGGCCAGGTCCCTCCCAGATCTGGGCTCTCTTGCAGAAGACAGAGCTGTCCCCAGACAGTGAGGTCCCATGGTGGACACAGTAGGATGGGAGTCTCTGAGGGGGCTGGTAGTAGGATTGGACAGGACTTTGTGCAAAGGATTTTTTGATACCTTGAGAAAGGGGCCAAGGCAGGATGTGAACCCAGGGCTATCTCATCCCAAAGTCTCAACGCTGTTGAGTTAGTGGCTCTTGGTTTCTACAGATCTCAGAAATGGCACTGCTCTCCCATCAGCACCCAGGCCCCCCTACCCTGTCCTGATCTCCTTTCACTCTCCTGCCCTTTAGTGACTCAGCTCCCCTGAGACACAAGGCTCCAGGCCCTGGAGTGCAGTCTGGGCTCGTCCCTCTTCAGAGACGGAACACTAACCCTGCCCTAGAAAACATCCTTTCTCCCTCACCCTGGTTGCTGTCCAGGCATCTACTGCACTCCAGATTTAAGCAGAGGCAACCAGGCCTGGGCCCCGTCCTGCCTGAAGCCATCACAGGAAGCGAATGGAATCAAGGTCATGAGCAATGTGCCCCAACATGTAAAACATGACGGGGCAGCTAAGTCTGTGGCGCTCATCAAAGGAGGAATCCACCCTTGCCCTGAGCCTCCTCCATTCAAGACTTTGTTAACCAACAGGCTGCAGCTCTCTGGGAAAAAATAAATATTACATTACGTGGCTTCCAACATCCTTGAGGGCAAGTTTAGGACACAATGTTTAATTGTTGAAATCCATTCCCTAATCTATATATTTTCAGTTAAAAAATAACATAGCTATGACCAACTCTAGTGGTTATCTAACCTACTAAAATGTTGCAATCTGCTGTTTGGAGCTACTCAGCGGCTGCAGGAGAAAGGACACCAGAGACCAGAGGGTGATATGGGGTTGGGAGGGGAGCATGCTGTACCCCTGCCCCCATGGGTGATAAAAAACAGTTAGGACTCTGGTAATTGCACAAATATTTCTGCTATAGCAGCACCTTCCCTGGACTGCTAACTCTAGTCTCAACCTTCCTGTCCACCCTCCTCCCAGTAGGTACTGGGATATTCACAGACACAAATCTGAATACTTTCCTTCCGTGCTCAGGACCTGGCCATGGTGCCCAGTGTCCTGAGGATAAAGTCCTGAGTCCTGGGACTTCCCTGGTGGCGCAGTGGTTAAGAATCCACCTGCCAATGCAGGAGACATGGGTTCGAGCCCTGGTCCAGGAAGATCCCACATGCCGCGGAACAACTAAGCCCGTGTGCCACAAATACTGAGCCTGCGTGCCTAGAGCCTGTGCTCCGCAACAAACAGAAGCCACTGTAATGAGAAGCCCTCGCACCTCAACAAAGAGTAGCCCCTGCTCACCGCAACTTGAGAAAGCCCCCGCACAGTTAGGGAGACCCAACGCAGCCAAAAATAAATAAATAAAAATAAATAAATTTATTTTTTTAAAAAGGAATGGAACTGTCAGCTTACTACCAAGGGTAGATTTGAGGTCAAGTCCCAGTGATGCTTTTTTTTTTTAATTTACTTATGTTATTTTTGGCTGCATTGAGTCTTTGTTGCTGCACGCGGGCTTTCTCTAGTTGTGGAGAGCGGGGGCTACTCTTCATTGCTGTGTGTGGGCTTCTCATTGCAGTCGCTTCTCTTGTTGCAGAGCACAGGCTCTAGGCACGTGGGCTTCAGTAGTTGTGGCACTCGGGCTCAGCAGTTGTGGTTCATGGGCTCTAGAGCTCAGGCTTAATAGTTGTGGCACACAGGCTTAGTTGCTCCACGGCACGTGGGATCTTCCCGGACCAGAGCTCGAACCCATGTCCCCTGCATTGGCAGGCGGATTCTCAACCACTGCACCACCAGGGAACCCCCCACCTCCACCCAGGTGATGCTTACGTGGCACTGTGAGTCAGACATCTTCTAAGGGATCGACCCATGAGTTAGATACGTTATAGTATCAGCCCCATTTTGCAGGTGGGGAAAACTGAAACCCAGAAAGGTTGTCATTTGCCCAAGCTCACACACTGGAATGCCACCAGAATTCAAACTCAGGCAGCCTGGCTCTGAATGAGGGCTCTGGACCACCAGGCTCTACTATCTCCCATGTGGCAGCAAGGTGAGTAGCCCTCTTCTGGCCTGTTTACTCAACTGTGAAATGGGCTTCCCATTAGTCACCTCTTCAGTTTGCTGCAAGGGTTAAATGACATCGGGCTTAGGTCCAGGAGAAGTGTTTTTAAAATGGGTCCCTTTGTTTCTTCAGTTCCTTGCAGGAGAATGGGAGAAGAGGCCTGGCCGCCTGCCTCCCATGTTAAGTCCTGGTGAGCTGTCCAATGCTCCACTGAGAGGAGAGACAAAACAGGGCAGAGATCCAGACCCTGGGTCTTCCAGAAAGCACGAGGCGAAGTGCCCAAGGGCCTGTGTGCCTCTCCCCACCCCCAACTCTCGGCTGGGTGAGGGGCCCCTTGGCTTTACCACGGTATCCCCCCTCCGGACCGGACCACACCGCATCCTGTTGGGGCCCTGCCAGAGAAGGAATCGGAGCCTGGGTTCCCACTGGGAAGTCCCGCGGGGTGTGATGCAAGGCCTTCCCTGCCCCCCAGGCAGATAAAGGCACAGAGCCAGCCTGGAGCTGCTAGCCATCTCCGCGCGCCCTGCCTGCCATGACCCGCCGCTGCGCGCTGCTCGCCTGGGCCCTCTCCGGCCGTCCTCAGCCTCGGAGCGGCTCAAGAAGCCTCGGTAAGCTGCATCCCCATCGTGCCCCGCAGACAGTGGAAGGCCCGGGCGTCCGAGCGCAACCAGCGCTAAGACGGGCCCGTGCGCTACGCGGTGGTGTCGCACGCAGCGGGCAGCGCCTGGGACACCCCATCCTCTTGCCTGAAGCAGATCCAGAACGTGCAGCACTACCACGTGCGGACGCTGGGCTGGTGCGGCGTGGGCTACGGGTGAGTGAGAAGGAGAGGCAAAAGCTGGAGACGGGACTGGAGCAGAGGGAGGAGCGCGGGCCCAGGAGACCGCAGGGACCCTGTTCTAGAGCCGCCTGGCCGACACCCCGGGCACCTTACTCAACCGCGCAGCATCTTCGTTTGTCCCCAGGGTCGCCGCTTAGGCCTGGGCATGTGCAGGCAGCGCAAAGATGCTAGGAGGAGGGGAAGCAGCTGCAGTCCAAGCTCTGCCCCCAGAGGAACGGACAGACTTTGCCAATACACAGGAAGATATCCTGTGCACTGGATTCCCTTGGTAAAGTCCGGTGACTCGTTAAGCATCAGGCCGGGTTGCCGTCCCAGCTCCATTTACTTATGGCTGAGCCCTGGGGCAGGCATTCACCCTCTTTCAGCTTCAGTTTCACCTTCCTCCTCTGCAAAGTCAGGGGGGTCATGGCCCACCCCATCACTAAGCCAGCCAATACCACTTAGGACACCGCCTGGTGTGCAGTGGGAGCCCCCAAATCCATGGACTGTTGGCGCCTATTACTATGTGCCAGGCTGTGCGCCATATGCTGGGACGGGGGCACAGCCATGAACAGTGTGAATCTAGCCCAAAGGGATTTAAAGACCAGCAGGCAGCAACAGGTGAGAAACAAGCAAGTCAACAAGATGAATTCAGATGGTGAGAGAAGCGATGGAGAAAAGGAACAGAGTGACTGACGCGGCTCTGGCATAGGGGAGCCGAGAGAAGAGTGTGGTAAGCTGGGGGTACAGCAGAGGTAGAGGCCAGGAGGCTGAGTGAGTGGGTCATTCCTGAGGGACAAAGGTCAGGGTGGCTGGAGGTAGCCGGGAAGAGTGATATGAAATGAGGAAGGAGTTGGCAGGGGCCGGATGGCACAGGGTCTTGTGGGCCATGGGGAGGACCTCCGTTCTACTCTAAGACAGGAGCCATGAGAGGGATGTGAGCCTGCTTGGATATAAGAAGCTCCCTCTGGCTGCAGTGTGGAGAACAGACTGTAGGGGGGTGAGGGCAGAAGCAGGGGCAGGGATTGGTTAGATCTGCCTCTGGGGCCCATGCCCACCAGCTCCCTTTCCAGGGTAATAGGCTGGGGTCCTGCATATGGGCTTCTATAGCAAGAGACTCTACTGGTTCTCAAGCCTCGGTAAACACCAGAATCACCTTACTGGAAATGAAGGTCCCCAGGCCCCACGCTTAGAGACTGCTTCAGTAGGGCTGGGGTGAAGCCAGAAAGCCTGAGGACCTCGCTTGGAAAAACCTGGAAGCCTTCAAGGGTATCCCCAGCTCTTCTGGCTCAAGATTTTACAATTCAAAGACTCCAACTTCAAATTATTTTTCCAAAAGTCAGGCGCTCCAGTTCTAAGCGTTTCCCTGAAGGAACGAAGAGCAGAGCTTGGCTCCACAGCCTCTGGTCTAAATCACTTTATAGAAAAGCAAACTGAAGTTTGTTTCTCAGATTTTAGGATTCAGAGTCTGATCCAAATGTTTGGAATCCCCCTTCCTTGTCGCATCTTGTTCGGAGCCTCAGTTTCTTCACCTGTAAAATGGGGCTCCTGACTGCCCACCAGGTGGTGGGGTTTGAAGTTTAAATTAGATGCATCCATTCAGCTAATGTACAGAGAGTACCAACTGCTTGTGCCAGATGCTGGGGCTGTGGCAGGACCATAACCGGCCCAGTCCTGGGGGTCGATATCACTATGGTATTTCTAGTCTCTTCAATCCAGATTCTGAGAGTCTGCCTTCCCAAGTGGCAGATTCAGGACCCAGTATTAGAGTTCCCACATTCTGCGCATCCTTGGTGACCTTGTGAGCCAGAGGACCGAGGTGACAGATATCGCATCTCCAAAACGCCAATCTTCTGGTTAATTCCAAATTTGTGCCAAATCAAACTCGCTCAAGCAGGACGTGTTGAATGACTGAACCTGACAGATCTGCTTCCAGGATTGGAAACCTCAAAGAGGCAGATGCTGGGGCTCCAGGGTTTGTGTCTGGTTGCAGCGCCAACCCTCGAGTCCCTGATCCTGTCACTCAAGTGTACCCCAGCAGGGAAGAGGAAGCAGGAAGCAGGCTGGGGAGAGGGCAGAAGAGCTTCTCAGTGGAGAGTTCTGAGAAGCATTAGCGTCCAGGACGTGACCTTGGGTAAATAATCTAAGTCTGCTTCCTCAGCTTAAAGTGGGGATGACAACAGTGCCTGCCTCCGAGGACTGCATGTGAGAATTCAGCAAAGCAAGAGCTCAACCAATCCTCCGGGGAGGCAGGAGAGAGCCAGACCATGTGGGTGGGAGTCACGGAGACCTGGGTGAAAATCCTGACTCCTCACGGGGTTGAGGATGCAAAAAGGCGCATGTAGAGCTGTGCTTGACAAATGGCAACGGCCACGGTCATTGTTCTTACTGTGGAAGATGAGAGGATAGGAGGAGGGTGTTGGGGAAATTGTGTGTGAGTGACAGGGACAGGGGCGGGGCAAGCAGAGGACAGGGAGGCAGTCCCCCCCCAACCCGGGGAAGCCCTCTGTCACTCATCCAGACCACCCTCCCACCCCCACAGCTTCCTGATGGGAGAAGACAGGCTCCAGTATGAGGGCCGGGGCTGGAACACCTTGGGCGCCCACTCAGGTCCCACCTAGAACCCCATATCCCTCGGCATCTCCTTCATGGGTAACTACGTGGGTAAGTGACTGTCCAGCCATCAGCTAGGGGGCTGACATGGAGCCCGGGGGTTGGCACCGCGTGGTGAGTAGTTGCTGGGAGGCTCTGCCACCTGGAAGCTCTATGACCTCGGACAAATGACTCTGCTTCTCTGAGCCTTGTTTCCTCTTTTGGATAAAGACTATTTGCAACCATATGGTTTCAGTGAAGATTAGTCTGTCTCTATAAAAGTTCTTAGACGAGTCCATGGCACCTAAGAAGTGCTTGATAAATGCCAGCTATTGCTGCGGCTCGGCTGGGGAGGTCTGCGGGCAGATGAGGGCAAATAAGCAGTAATCTTGACAGCTGACACTTGCTGAGGGCTTACTCTGTACATAAAATAACTCTTTTGATTATCCCACAGCCCTGTGGGCAGGTGTCATTCTCCCCTTTCACAGATGAGGAAACTGAGGCACAGAGAGGTTCTGTCATTCTCCCCTTTCACAGATGAGGAAACTGAGGCACAGAGAGGTTAAGTCACTGCTTGGTGGCGGCAGGCTGGGTTCCGGGCCCTAGCGGGCCAGCTCAGAGTACAAAATCAGAAGCACTACCCACACCCCCTCTGCCCTTCGAGGAAGCCCCAGCCTAACTCCTGCCTCTACCTCCCACAGATCGGGTGCCCCTGCCCCGCGCCATCAGGGCAGCCCAGAGTCTGCTGCCTTGCGGCGTGGCTCAGGGATTCTTGACTCCTAGCTACGAGGTCAAAGGACACCGGGATGTGTAGCAGACGCTTTCTCCAGGCTACCAGCTCTACGAAATCATCCAGCAATGGTCACACTACCACCACGTGTAAGGCCCTGTCCGTCTTCTCACACACACCCCCACCCCATCAGAAACCCCACTGCCTCCCCCTCCCCCAATAAAGGCGAACCTCAAACTGTATTTGTGTCCCGCCATCCCCCTCCCCACCCTCTCTCTCCCCCATAAGATCCCAGCCATCGCCCCCCAACCTCCCAGAACTCTGACCTTGCTCAGAACCCAGAGGCCCCGACCCTGAACCAAGACCCCAGAGATCCCAGCTTGGAAGCCAAATCACAGCTCAGAACCCAGAGGTCCCAGGTCACAGCACAGGAATAGCACCAAGTCAGCTGAGATGTCACCACCAGAAGCTCAGGGGTCCTCACCTCCCGGGCAGTAAGCCATGCGGCAAGACACCCCCTCTCTACCACACCGCCAAAGACATCCTGGGCAGCATCTCTGCTTGAACTCCTCTGGGGACAAGCTGCTCACTCCCACCCCTCAGGTTTCCCCCCCCCCCATTGCTTTAGAGAGTGCGGGAGTTTTTTCTGAGCCTGTACTCCAATCTGCCGCCCAGTCATAGGCATGGCCAGAAATACACACAGGTCCCAGTTACACCCCCTCCCCACCCAATCTTCATTCCTCCTCACTCCACCCCGACCCTTCAGTCATAAGCTGAGGGATCCCAAGGGCACATATGTTTATTTACAAAACACACTTACCCTCCCTCCCAGAATGCAATGCCTGCGGGAGACGTAGGGATTGGGGCCTCACACACCTGAGACCCCAACAGCACCAGGAGGAGCGGGGCCTGGGCGGGGCCAGGACACACCAGCCCCACCCCTCACGCCGAATCCATCCGAATCCATTGGAGGGGCAGTAGTCTCTCTCTGAGGTCACGAGTGCACGTCCAGTCTGTTCATGTATTCCTGCAAGGCCTTCAGGCGGGCGTCGATTTCGGCCATGTCAGCTGCCTGGTGGTCCGAGCTGTACTCTGTGAGAGCAGGCGTGGCTGTGGGGGTCCGTGAGGGGCCCAATATCCTGCCCTCAGTAGCATCCCAGTGGGCTCTGGGGCAGGTGAGGGGGAGATGTGGAGTCCCAGGCTCACCTTTGATGGGGACCCAGCCCCCCGAGTCCGCCAGGCGTCTCTGATGGCGGCCGCGTTCCAGGGGGCTAGGCTTCTGCTGCTGGGGGTGGCAGGAAAGGGGGTCAGGCACCCTCTATGCCTGCCCCCCAAATCCCACCGGCAATTCTGAACCAAAGGACCTCATAAAAATTAATGGTTGACACCTACTGAGTACTTATATGCAAAATAAGCTCCCTGTAGCTTCACCAGAACCCTCAGACGTGAATGCCATTACCATCCCCACTTAACTGATAAAGAAGCTGAGCTACAGAAGCTAAGTAGCTACCCTGAGTCACACAGGTTCTAGGGAGGGGAAGCAGGTTTCAAGACCTGGCAATTTGAGGCCAGAGCCGGTGCTCCTAACCAGAGTCTCCTGCCCCCACCTCAGCCCCATCCTCCTCTCCAACCCAAAGGTCTCAAAACACTGCCTCCAGGGCTTCCCTGGTGGCGCAGTGGTTGAGAAGAGTCCGCCTGCCGATGGAGGGGACACGGGTTCGGGCCCCGGTCCGGGAAGATCCCACATGCCGCGGAGCGGCTGGGCCCGTGAGCCATGGCCGCTGGGCTTGCGCGTCCGGAGCCTGTGCTCCGCAATGGGAGAGGCCACAACAGTGAGAGGCCCACGTACCGCAAAAAAACAAAACAAACAAACAAAAAAACACTGCCTCCAGAGGCACTGCGGAGCCGCTTTTACAACCTGATCCCCTAGAATGGAATCATGGGAGAAAGGGCCAGCGAGGCCCCTGCCTCCTCCAAAGCCTGAGGAAAGACACTCACCGTATTGGACCCCCTCCAAGTGGTGGGGCTGGGCGGCTTCCCCCGGCGACGAACGCTGAGAGGATGGAGTAACCAAGGACCAATGGGAGGGGTCTGTGGCACCTCCCACCTGGCCCTCTTCCTTGGTTTCAAGGCTCCAGCCTCCATCACCCAAGTTCCCCGCAAAAGACTGTTTCGAGTCTCCCCAGACACCTGTTTGGGGGCGGTCCCTTCCCCCAGCCCAAGTTTTACCCTCTAGGGAGGGATTCAGAGAAATCCTCGAACTCGCTGCAGGAGCTGGCGGACGAGTAGCGGCTGCGGAAACTGTCCACTAGAGGGAGAAGGAGAGTGTGAGCCTCTAGCACTGGCCACAGCCCCGCCCAGCTCGTCTGCCAGTCCCGCGCGCTCCGGCCCAGTTACCCGAGGAGCTGCGGTTTCGGGAGCGGTTAGCCGCGTCTCCTCGACCGGTCACGGCTGCGGGGGGCCGAGTTTGGCGAGACCAGGAGGTGGATGGACGGTCCCCGCTTCCTCCGCTGCCCAATCGGTTTCGCTGCTGCTGCTGCCTGGAGAACAAGAAAGGAGACGCCCACCTGTGCGCCCAACTAATTCGGGAAAGGGCGTCGCTGCGCCCCGTGGGTCACACCTAAATAGGGAAAAATCATGCGGAGACACAGACCAGGTAGGGGTGGGAGAGACAAAGAAGCAGGGCGTGGGGATGGGGGAGGCTGGCGATCAGGAGAGGGGATGGAGGTCAGGCGGGAAGCAAGAGCAGGTAGGGGGAAGGGGAGAGATGGAGCAGGTGACAGGTGATGGAGTTGGGAGTTGGGGATGGATGGTCAGAGGGTCAGGTAAAGGGGCAGGGATATGCGCAGGTGAGGAGAAAGTGGGCGCTAACTTCATCTTGATCGCTCTCTGCTTCTTCTCCTTGGCTTTCACAAAGGCTGTTGGGTCGAAACGGGGCACGCGACCACCTAGGACCGGGTGGGGGTGGGGTGTGGAGAGAAGAGGAGGCTGGAGTCATAGGATCACGCCTCCACAGTTCTAGTTCCATCCACCTCCTCCCACGGGCAGAGCAGGGTCGTCACAGACCTGTGGGCGAGGGCGAGGGGCGGCCAGGGCGGCCTTGACCCCGGCCCCCGCGGTCGCTCTCCCGGGATGAGGAGCGGGCAGCGCCACGGCCACGCGACGTGGAGCGCTCCCGAGACGTCGAAGCCCGATCTTCCCGGGCCGAGGGCGGCACCACCGGTGTAGTCCGTCTCCTGGGAGCACAAAGCCCACTGTCAGTTTCCCACCAGCGAAGACAACTCCTATCCCAAGCCTCTTGCCGGACTGCACCATCTCCGAAACTTCAGGCCCATCCCCCATCAACTCCTAAACATTCACGTACTTACACAATCCTCACAGATACCTTCTCCCAGGGTCCACCCCTATCGGAGCCCCCCAAACCACGCCCCCCCAAACCCATCTGTCACTTCCCTACAACCTAACACATCCTTTCACCAGGCCCTTCTCCCAGAGGTCTCCCACAGCTCCCTGGAAACCCTTCCCAATTTTTCAACACCCACCCCAATACATGCCAGCAAACATCACTCGGATACCCACATGCTTAGCCACGCCCTTTCGCTCAACTAGACCTCAGACCCTGCCCCTTTTCGGTCCCTATCTCCAGGTTCAGCCTCCTGAATGCCGCCTCAGGCCTGCCCATCTCTCTACAGACTCCGCCCATCGTTTTCAACTACTGTGTGTGTCCTTCCCTATGCCCCATGCAGTCCTTTAGGCCCCACTCATCCCTCCGTTAGGCCCACTCTCAGGCTCTACCCGCCCTCTCCACCTTACCTGGGCCCCGCCCCGTCACTCAGGCCCCGCCCAACCACGCCCGGAGCCCACCTGCAGGCGGGGTCCACAGCTCCAAGGCCCCACCCACCCCGGGCCGCGCCCCTCACCCCCTCTTGTACATGGCCAGCTCGGTGTTCAGCGTCTTCAGCCGGGCACGCAGGCTCCGCTCCGACGCCTTCACCTCCTCTAGCTGCCGGGAGGGAAGAGGAGCGTAGAGGTCCAGACTGAAGCCAAAGTCCGGGACCCGCCGGCGCCCAGCCGGCCGCCCCGCCACCTCACCTCCTTGGCCAGGCGGCGGCAATCCTGGCTTCGGCGGCCGGACCCGCGGTGCCCGAGGCCGCGCTCCTGCCGCAGCTCCAGCTCCAGGCCGCGCACGAGCCCGCGCAGCGCCTCGACCTCCTGGCGCGCCGCCCGCCCGGCCAGCGCCTCCTCGCGCGATCTGCCCAGCTGGGCCTCCAGCTCGCGCTTCTCAGCCGACAAGCGCGACACCCTGGGAGGAGGAGGTAGAAAGCGAATGCTGGGGCGGGGTGAGAGGCATGGTCCCATAATCCTCATTCCTCCACTGGGTTGGGCACGCACCATTTCTTGATCGGTAATTAGAGAAATGCAAATGAAAACCATCAAGAGATGCTGAGCTGATAGGAACTTTCTAAGACAGGGATCCAGCTCTCAACATCCAAACCCATCAGTCCCAACACCACCTGACAGTAGCAAATACACAGTCCCACAGAGGAAGGCACTGTCCCAGAAACCTGAATCTGATTAGCCTATAGGTTTAACAACCACTTCGCGGGAAATAAACAGAACAGGCGACCACGTGAACCATGGAGATAAAATCAACAAAATCCAGGGACTTCCCTGAAGTCCGTTGAAGCTGGGGCACAAGTACACGTGCATTATACTACTGTCTACTGTGCGTGCTTGGAATTTTTCCCAATAAAACATTTTTTTAAATCCGTGGCTCCCCCGCACTCTCCAAGGAGCTTCCCCATTCGGTCCCTTCCAGCTGACTTCCCCCCTCCCCTCCTCTCCTCCCCCCTCCCTCTCCCATGGTGCTCTTTGCAAACGCAATTCCCTCCTCCTGAACCCTCTCTCCTCCTCCTGGCAGGAACCACTCCACTCATCCTCCAAACATCACATCCCCCGCCCCGCGGGGAAGCCTGCCTGCCCTCCCAGCCAGGCTGTCATGTCCCTCTATTCTCTCCTCTCCTGGCTCTCTCTGTACGTTTCCTTCCCGGCACCAATCATGGTGGAGCTGACGTTGATCAGTGTGATTATGTTTTCTGTCTGCATCCTCACTCCAGCTGTCTGGTCACTGTGTAGGAACTCGGGCTCTGTGGCCTGGCTGATGGCATCCAACTCTATTCCAGTTCTTACAAGCTGTGTGACCTGGGGCAGTTTCACTTCACATCTCTGTGAAGTGGGATGATAATAATAACACCTACTGATAAGGCTGCAGGAATCTATAAAGAGCGCTTAGACATGTCTGGCACTGAGTGATGGCTCAGTAAACATCGATAGGGCCAGGCAGTGTGCCTGGCACACCGTAGGAACTCAGTAAATGTTGGATGACTGAATGAATGAATCTTGGAGTCTTCCCAAACTCCCTAACTCCAAGCTGGGAAGAGAAAGGTAAGAACCAACTGTCCAGTTGTGGATCTCAGGGCAGATGACGCCATCTTGTGGCCATCCTGGGAAACACATGCACACGCACCTGGAAGACTCGCAAGGTTCTCCAAGCCCCATGAGCTTGCACTTCTGGGAGGGGAGAGGTCTGGTCCTCCCAGGCAGCCCTGAGCGCTCAGTCCTGGGCTAGCAGCTGCCAGCAGTGCACAGTGGCTGAGGAACCAAAGGTGGCTTGGGCTGACTGCCTGGATTCAAGGTCTAGCCAGGCCATATTACTTCACTGTGTAACCTGGGGCAAATTCTCTAACCTCTCTGGGCCTCAGTTTCCTCCTCTATAAAATGGGGACGATAGTAGTGCCTACTTTGGGAGGATTAAATCAGTTAAATCATACAGCACTGAACAGAGTCCCTGGCACACAATTAAATGCTCGATAAACAATAGCTACTGGTATTATTATTATTACTACTACTAAAAATAGTATTAGCCCTCCCCAATGAGTGGGGCCCCCACCAGATGGAGACCAAGTCCCAGTCAGCCCCTCCACAGCCCTCAGCACACAGCAGGCACTCGGTAAACATGCCCATCAGGTTCCTGTCACAGCCTCCCATAACACAGGCTCCCTTTCCTGCCTAACCCCATCTCCATTTGCAATATACTCGGGTGGGTATGTGATCAATGTCTCTCTGCCCCCTGCACTGGCACTACACCATGGGCAGGGAAGGGGCCAGCACAAGAGAGGCGCTTGGGGAAGGTGGATTCAACTGAATAGAGCCCTGCCTCGCACCCTGTCTTTGCACATGCTGTTCCCTTTGCCTGGAACACCCCTCCCTTCCCAGGCAGGGCCAGGTCTCTCTCTGGACTCCCTCAGCCCCATCCATGGTGAATCTTCACAGTCTGCATACAGATCTGTCTCCCGCACTGGACTGGGAGCCCCAGGAGAGAACAGGGCCAGAATTATCTCGGTCATTGCTGTGTCCCCAGCACCATTAACACATGGTGGGCACAGAGGAGGGGCTCAGAATAAGTATTTGGGGAATGAGGGATGGCTGTCCTTCCAACAGTGCTAAGCATTGGGTCCCGCAGTGCATGATGGGATGTGTCCCCCCCCAGCCCCAACCGCCCACCTCCACCTCCAGACTTACTGCTCCCGCAGATGCCAGATCTCAGTTTCCCGGCTGTCCCGAGTGTCCTGGCCATCCAGCCCTCGAAGGCGGCTCAGCTCCTCCTTTAGTGAGCGAATGATGCCCCGCAGGACCACAGGGTCTGGTTTGCCCTGGTACGGGAGGGGCAGCGGGTAGTGAATCCTGAGAAGGAGGATTAGAACCGTGGCATCTCAGAGGCCAAGAATCCACCCAGGAAAGGACATGTGACCATTTCTAGCCAAATACTACAGGAAATTGGTTGGGAGTCTTCTGGGAGCACTTTTAGTTTCCTGATAAAAACAGCTGATACAATTAACAAGCACAGCCCTGTTCCATTTCCTCCTGCTTTGATGTAGATGCAACGCCTGGAGAAACAGCAGCCATTTTGTGACCGTGAAGAGATAAGGATGCAGTCAAAAAGCCAACACGTTAAGGATGAGGAAAAGAAGAACAAAAACAAAAACAGAAGGAGCCTGAGTCCCTAACAAAACTGTTGAGTAGCAGCCATCTACCTAGACATCTCGTTATGTGATAAACTATTGTTTAAGGCACTGATAATGGTTATCCTGATACTTGTAGCCAAACACAATACTAAATGATATAACCCTCAACACTGAAGATTCCAAAGGCTAGACTTAAGCAACATCCCCACCTAGCCCTGGGTACCAGGGGTTCTTAAGTTCTATCCATGTCCTCTCCCACCTGACCACCAGCTACCAGCCTGGTGGGTATACTTGTACCCACCTGTCAAACTCCACAGAGTAGATGAGGATCAGGTAGCGCTTGGAGTTGAGCTGGGCCGATCTTGAGGCCAAGGGGCCTGGGCGGCCCCCCATCTTTCGGTTCCGCAGGGACTCCAGATCTGTGTAGGTCAGCAGGTCAAGGGTAACCGACTCACTGCTCTGTTGGAGAGAATGGGAGGAGCTGCCAAAAGACCCAACGTGGCCATACCCAGAGCACACAACCCACACACCTGGGCCACGCCCCATTCATTCTCTGGGCTAGCTGGGCTTTTCCACCACTGAGGCTGGCGATCAAGATGACCCTGCCCCATGAGGGGCTGCCACAGGACATCATCAGAGGGAGAAACTGAAAAGAACCTAAATGCTCAGCCATAGGAGACAGCTTAGTGCTGGGGCTTCCAAGTACTGTCCACAGACCCCTGGGGGTCCCCAAGACCCTTTCAGGGGAGTCCATGGGGTCAAAACACCTTGCATAATAATACTAAGATGTCATCTGCCTTTTTTGCTGTGTTGACATTTGCACTGATGGTGCAAAAGTCATGGTGGGTAAAACTGCTGGTGCCCATTAGCAGAAAGCAAGCCAGGGGCATCAAATGCACTAGTAACCATTGTATATTCCACTGCCACGCAGTCTCCGCAGGGGGATGGGAAGGAGGGAGAAACACACAAATAAATAAATAACTAGATAAAAACACAGAAAATGAAACCTAGGAATGTCCTTGATAAACCTGTAAAAATTATTAATTTTGGGGGGTCCGCACTGCGCAGCTTGCAGGATCTTAGTTCCCCGACCAGGGATCGAACCCGCACCCCCTGCAGTGGAAGCGCAGAGTCTTAACCACTGGACCGCCAGGGAACCCCAAATTATTAATTTTTTTGACTCTTGACCCTTGAGTGCACATATTTTTACTACTGTGTGTGACAAAATGGAAAGTACACATTCGGCTGCATATCAAGGTATGACATTTTCTAGGAAAAGCACTTGTGTGATTGAATTTTGAGCTAAATTAGCCACTTTTTCATGGAACACTATTTTTACTTGAAAAGGTACTGACAAAAACTACGGTTATTCAGTCTTCGATGTTTGGCAAGCATTTTCTCAAAAATGAACAAAGCAAGCCTGTCACTTCCAAAAAAATACAGCTAACGGTATTTGTTTTGCAACAATAAAATTCAAACTCTAAAGTGAAAATTAGAATTTTGGAAAACTTGTATCTGCCACTGTGTGCTTGATAGCTTCTCAGTGTTGAAAGGCTTTCCTGGACAGATCAGTGAGGATATTAACAAATATGACTTCCTGATATTGTATAATGAAATGTGTCAACATTTGGAAGATTTGCACAACTCCGTGAACCAATATTTTCCAAATGACCAATGCATGATGTTACAAATGATGCTACAAATGCATGATGTTAGAAAATGAGTAAAAGATCCCTGCAAAGTAAAGACACACCAATAGATTTTAATGTCACAGAACAGGAAAAGTTCACTGGGAATGGTCTCAGATTCCACACTGCGATAAACCTTTAAGAAACTACCACATGTCCAGTTTTAATGTGCTGGCAAGAGAGGATATGCACAATTATCTGAAAAAGCTATTAAAGGACTCCCTTTTTCAGCTATATATCTTCCCGAGGCAGATTTTTCTGCATGTACGTCAATCAGGACGTATCACAACAGACTGCAGAAGCACATGAGAATCTAGCAGTTTTCTATTAAGCCAGACATTAAAGAGATTTGCAAAAAATGTTAAAAAAAAAAACCCACTATATTTCTTACTAAATAATTTTGGTTTTGAAAATATTTTTCATAAAAAGGTTATTTAGGTCAGTAACAGGTTTGTTACTGTTATTTTTAAATGAATTTGTAAATATCTTTATATTTTTCTCAGTTTTAATTTACAATATGGCAAACAAATATTGATAGATAAAACCTGCATGAACAAAAGCTCCTTGGTGTCCTCAGTAATTTTTAAGAGTATAAACGGGTCCTGAGACCAAAAAGTTTTTTTTTTTTAATTAATTTTTATTGGAATATGGTTGCTTTACAATGTTGTGTTAGTCTCCACTGCACAACAAAATGAATCAGCCATACACATAACGGGATCCCCTCCCTTTCGGACTTCCCTCCCATTTAGGTTACCATAGTGCATTAGGTAGCGGTCCCTGTGCTATACAGTATGTCCCCATCAGTTGTCTATTGTATACATAGTATCAATAATGTGTATGTGTCAATCCCAGTCTCCCAATTCCTCCCACCCCACCCCTTTCCCCCTTGGCATCCATACATTTGTTCTCTATGTCTGTGTCTCTATTTCTGCTTTGCAAATAAGAACATCTATACCATTTTTTCTACATTCCACATATATGCCTTATCATACGATATTTGCTTTTCTCTTTCTGACTTACTTCACTCTGTATGACACTCTCTAGGTCCATCCACGCTGGGACCAAAAAGCTTGAGAACCACTGGGTTAAATAAATCATGATGCATGGGTATACTGGAATACTAAGCAACCGCTAACAAGGATGACAAACTCAAAAGTTGTAATAATAATAAAAATAGACAATACCTGTGTAGCACTTATTATGAGCCAGGCACTATTCTAAGCTTTTTACATGTAATTCACTTAATCTTCATAACATTATGAAATGGGGACTACTATCATCCCCACATTACAGGTAAGGAAACTAAGACATGGAGTAACTGGCCCACAGCTCCCAAGTAGTAAGTGCTAGTGATTACTGATTTCAGAGTCCATGATCCTGGCCATTATGCTATACTGCCTATAGATACCAAAATGTTAACAGTCTGAGGTGGGGGATAGAAACAGAATTTAGACTCTTACTTTCTAAGTCACACATTACTTTAATATCATCACAATTTTATGAGTGCACATTTTACCTGTAACCAGAGAAATAATGTAGTTCACAGTTTTTAAATGATGTCTAAATAGCATCTATGTCACACTAAGCTCCAACCTGCTTCTTTTTTTCCTATTAATATTTTTAACTATTTGACATTATATATTTTTTTCAATTGTCTGTCTCTCCCACTAGGCTGTCAGGTTCATGAGGGCAGGAATTTTGTCTCTTTTGTTTAGTGCTGTATTCCAGTGCCTGGCACACAACAGATGCTCAGTAAATGAAATGAATGATTATCTATATCCACTGACATGACTAAATTTTTATGAATTATTGTTAAATCTTTTAAAAGGCTACAGAATACCTTGGGAAATATATCAACTATATAAAATTATAGATCTGCAAATACACACACGTTCACAAGTGAATACAGAAATGCAGAAATGGCTGGAGTGATTTCCATCAAAATATTAATAAAAGGGACTTTCCCAGGGGTCCAGTGGTTAAGACTCCACCTTCCAATGCAGGGGGTGCGGGTTTGATCCCTGGTTGGGGAACTAAGATTCCACATGCCACGCAGTGCGGCCAAAAAATATATATCTATTAACAAAATATTACTAGGAGTAAGTATTGGGAATGGAGTGATTTTTACTCTCTTCTTTACATTTCTCTGTGACTTGAATTTTCTCCATGATAATCATTATCATTAGAATTACAATCAGAATAAGGTATTTACATTTGGGAAAGAAGAAAAGAAAACGATAGCCCTGTTCCTTCAATGAAAGAGAAGGTAGAGGGTCTTGCATACATCAGGTGGGCATCTACCCTCCCAGAGACCCAGGGAACAGACAGCTCCCCCAGCCCCCAACCCTGGCCCCTACCTGGGTGAGGGCCGACTCCAGCATGTTACAGAAGATGTTGAACTGTTTGAAGTTCCCTGTCTTGTGAGTCAAATCTTCGATGACTAGGTAGGAAGAAAAGTCCTTCCTGAGGTCTGGCCACTTGCCCAGCCCAAGGGCAATGCACCCAACCTTTCCACCTTTCCCCAACACCAGTGCCCCTGGCCCAAGAGATGAGCCCTACACCCCCTCCCCAGCTTAGAGAGCTTCTAGTCAGGTAGAAGAGGCAGGTGGACAGGATCCTGACTGGCCTCATCTGGGAGAAGCTGAGCCCAGGGAAGGACAAGTGAGCCCACCCAGGCAGGCACACTCACAGCTGGCATCGAATTCGGCCCGCCACTGGTCGGCCGTCATCCGGTCCTCCACCTCCAGCTCTAGCACCTGCCCAGACACCATCACCCGCACGGCATGCTCCACACCCCGGAAGACGTAGTCCACCTGCAGGCCAGCTGGCTGGTCCATGGCCAGTGTCGCTGGAGAGGGGAATGAGACAGAGACCTGGAGGGGCTGAGAGCCCAGACTCAGGAGCTGGAAGGCCAGAATCCTGGTTCCACCATGTACCACCTTAGGAAAGAGACTTTGTCTCTCTGTGCCTCAATTTCCTCATCTGGAAAATGGGTACAATAATGGCACCTACCTCATAGAGCTGTCATGAAAATTAAATTGGACAATACATGTAAAAGCACTTGGAACTGTGTCCTGCACGTTACTATGCCCAATACACGCTGGTTAATAGAATATATGATTTCCAATAAGAGGATCAAGATTAATACTATTGATTATTAACTTATTAATCCTTATACTCATTATATATTTATTGTTTATTCATTTATTTAAACATTTGTGGAGAAAAGTCAAGCCGTAAAGGGAGACAGAGTACTGAGATCAGGCTGGGCAGAGATTTTAAATAGAGGGTCAAGGGCAGGCCTCCCTGGGGAGGTGACATTTGGACAGAGAACTGAAGAAGGTCAGGGAACAAGCCAAGTGGCTATCCCTAAGGAAAGTGGTCCAAGTCGAGAGAACAGCCAGTGCATGGATAATAGATTATCCATGATAAACTTAAATCATTTACATTGAATTAATAATTGAACTTCTTCATTAGTCTGCTGTAAGCATAAATACTTTCTCTCAGCCAACAGGACTACTACTCACTGTTAGTTCTATGAGGAGTTGGAGGAGAGGGTAGGCCTCCACCCTCAGCATGAATTCTAGGGAGTGGTTCAGAATGGGAGCCCCAGGCTGTTTGGGTTCGTGTCCAAGTTCAGCTACGTGCACTTAGATGGGCAAGTAACTTAACCTCTCTTGGAGCCAGATTCCTTATCTTTAAAGTCTGTGCTATCCTGGGTGCTGGGGATATGATGAGAAACCAGATTCTGTCCCTACCCTCAAGAGGGTGGCAACAGTTAGAGGCATAAAAATGTCAACTGGTGGGGAAAGGGGATACTAGTGAGTAGGGGTCGCTCTTTTAGCTAAGGTGGTCAGGGAAGGGCCACCCCCTCCCTGCTGAGCAGAGGCCTGGAAGGAGGGAGGGGGGGAAGACAGGTGAATATCTGGGGATTAGGATCCAGGTAGAGGGAACAGCCAGGCAAAGATTCCAAGGCAGGATGTACCTAGTCTGTTCTGAAAACACCAAGGAGGTCAGCGTGAGGGAAGGAGAGAGGGAAAGTGAGGAGATCAGAGAGGTAACGGGCCAGATGATGTTCCTGCAGGCCTTTGTAAGCCCACAGAAGGATAACAGCGTTTATCTCCTTAGATTGGTGTAAGGATTAAATGAATTAATTATGTAAAAATCCTTGGTGAAATTGAGCCATCCCTGACCCAAGCAAGCACTCAATACATATCGGCATCATCATCATTTTTTTTATTGAAATATAGTTGATGGACAACATTATGTTAGTTTCAGGTGTACTACACAGTGACTTGACATTTGCATACATTATGAAATGATCACCACGACAGACCTAGTAACCATCTATCCCCATACAAAGTTATTCCAATATTACTGATCATATTATGTGGCTTATTTTATAGCTGGAGGTTTGTACCTCTTAATCCCCTTCACCTATTTCATCCCCACTCCCAGTCATCACTATTTTTGTTATTATTACTTTGTTGTTGTTTCTGAGTTTGAAAGGGACTAGAGAGACAAGGCCAGCCCATTCCCTTCCCAGTGTACAGATGGGGAAACTGTGGCTCTGTGAGAAAAAGAGCCCTGTGCAGAGTCCCACGGGTGCTGCAAAGACAGAGGCACCCAGGGATGCCCCCAACCCAGTTCATGGGGACTCCTCCAATGCCTGACCTCCTTCTCTCCCCACTGTCTCCTTTAGTCCTCACACTTTCCCCAATTTAGTCCTTCCTAAAGTCTGATATTGGAAAATTTAATAGTTTGAGCCCTGAATCTCTAGGTCAGTGATTTTTTTTTTTGACCGTGCCACTGCACGGCATGCAGGATCCTAGTTCCCCGACCAGGGATCGAACCCGCACCCCCTGCAGCAGAAGCACCGAGTCTTGACCCCTGGACTGCCAGGGAAGTCCCTCTAGGTCAGTGATTTTTAATCTTTTCAGAGTCCTTGAGCTTTTGAGAATCTAATGAGATCTCTGAACCCTCCCCAGATAAATGAATAGATCCATAACCTCTGCAAGTAATTTCAGAGTCTCCCAGAATACCACATCCCCAGGCTCATCCACAGATCCCCTTTCTCAAATGCCCAAGGACAATCGCCAGAGCCCCAGCCATCCTGAGAGGCACGTCTCTGCCTCTAGACCCAAGCTCTTAACTTTATCTGGGGGAGGGGGTCTCTGGTGCTTTGGACGGACTGATGAAATCTGGAGAACCTTTTCCCACTCACACTCTCATAACTGTACTTTCATTCTCTGGGGTTTCAGAAGCCGGGGGGAGGTTAATAATTCCTGATCTACGGGCAAACAAACAGCTACACATTTCAACATATCCCTCATCCCCTGGCCCCTAGTGCGGGTGCCAGGCAGCGCTGGCCCCGCCCTACCGGGTGTCCTAAACGCCGCCCACCCACTCCGCCCCTCAGACCCCGCAAGCCAATCAGCGGTTGCGCTGTCCCGGTTACCACGGCGCCAAAGGCAGCAGCGGAACACTTGACGAGCCACGCAGCCTAACCGCCCCATTCACCACCCCACTCTTGGTACCCAACTCTCCCGAGGAGGCAGAGGAAGAAGGGGACCCGGCCCTGCCCTCCTCCTTCCCCACTCCCCTACATAAGCCCCCCATTCATAGGCCTTCATTAGATAGATAACAGGGCCTTTCTGCATCCCACTGCCCTGATGACACAGCCAACACCTCAGTCTCCAGATAGTAAGCCCCTGAATATTCTGCCCGAATTCAACTCTCCCCTTACACCTACCTGCCTCCTCACCTGTACAAACTGCGCCCGCTCTCTCCCTCCATCCTCTCTTCTAGACAGAATAAATCCCACACTCCCCAGCCAGCTCGACTCTCCCCTCCTGACCCCAGCTCCCCATCACTCACTCCCTAGATGGCCTCGAGATTCTGGTCACCCCCCTTCTCCCAGTCCCCCATGTTCTACTGGGGTTCCCCCCATATTCTACTTGAATTTTGTCCTGTCCCCCACAACACACACACTATTCCGCCTGGATCCTGTCTGCATATTTGCCCAAGGTTCTACTCCACACACACCCCATCTTCAGCCTGTATTCTGTAACCCTGATATTTCATCTGGATTCTGTTCCCTCTCAAATTCTATGTAAACTCCCCGCACCACCCCCCATTTTCCACTTCTCTTCCCTTTGGAGAGCCCTCCTTGAAGTCCCCCTCTCCCCCAAGTTCTGGAATTTTCCAGGCACGGAGTCACTCCCTCCCTCCTTCATGCCCCACCCTGCCCCCACTGCCGACCCTGTCCTTCTACCTGCATCCTCCATCCTTGCTCTGTGACTCCAACCAGTGGCCCGTGACCGCCGACCAGTGGCCCATCCTGGTCGCTGGTTTTGTTCCAGTCTCACGTCTCTCCCAGCTCCTCTTCGCCTCAGCTTAGTGACCTCTGCAACCCAGCCGGGGTGCTGTGCCTTTGAGGCCCCGCCCCTACCAACCCGCGACGTCAGCACTTCCACCTAGTGCACTCCGGCTGGACTCCCCAGCGCCCCACTCTGGTCCTCACACCTGACACCATTTCTCCGGCCTTATGACATCATGGCTTCAGTGCACACGCGCGTGTACACACACTCAGTTTTCCAACCCCCAGCCCTCTCATCTTTCACTAAGGTGACCCCCTCTCCATTTCCAGTGTGACACCACCGCCCCTGGCTCCTCCTCCCGAATTATGTTCCCCGGATATTTCAGATTTCACAGCCCTCACCCCAGGACCGGAGTTGACAGTCCTCCACGCTGGGCTCCCCCAAAACAAGTCCACATCACCATGTCCTACACCAGACATGGGTAAATCACCGCCCCTGGCAGCCCCTACCCGATGGTTGTTTTCCCACCATCTGCCACCACCACGCCCCACACCAAATATTCCCGCCAGCCATGACCTAGCTGGAGTCTCCAATACAGCGTACCCCCCATTTCACCTTCATACACGTGGCCTGGCCTCAGTGACTCTTCCGAGCCCCCAGCTCACTGCCCCGCCCCCCACCATGTGGGTGAATTGGGGCTGGATGGAACCCCCTTCCCCTTAGCCCTGCACTCCAGATCAAAACCTTCCACATTATCCCCCTGGAATATATGGACCCCAAAGCCTTTTAGGACACCCCACAATCCAGACCCCCATAGTGCCCACCGCAGCCCATCACCACCCCCTGGATATCAGACACCCTCCCCCAGTGTCCCTCAAATGCTTTTTGCCTTAGATAAGGACTAGGCACACCTACCAACCAGTGACTCACCCTTAACTCTGCTCTCTGGTAGGTATTGTAACCATCCCCCATTTTACAGAGGATGAAGCATCTTGCCTCGAATCCTACCGCGAGGGACTGGCACATTCATCCCCCTACTCCTTACTCAGCTGCCTTTCCCTGACTACCTTCCTTTTCCTGCCATAACTCTCTTCCTTCCAGCACAAATCCAAATGTGGGCTCACACCTTAAGCATGGTACACGCTGCAGGCTGGGGACTCCTGGGTTCAGATGCTAACCCACGATGTGACCCCCGGCAAGGCATTTACCCTCTCTGGGCCTTTCCCCATCAGTAAAGCGGGGATAATAAGAGTTCCCACCTCACATAGGATTATTGTGGGGATTGAATTAGTCAATACATACAAGGTGCTTCAAACAGAGCCTGGCACTTGGTCAACCGTTACCATCTGTGCAACTAGCTGATGACTAGTTGCCAGACCAGAAGCTCATGAGGGCACAGCCATTTTGATCGTTCTTGTATCTTCAGCACCCGGGGCCTGGCACAGATCGGGGGCTGCTTGTGAATTAATGATCGATGCCAGGAGGCAGGGTTCAAGGCACTGGAGATACAAGCAAGGTCTTCTCAGCTCACTCCTTGTCATCCTCCAAGTCTCAGCTCCAATGTCTCCTCCTGCAGGAAGCCCTCCCTGACTCCCAGGCTGGGTAAAGGGCTGCCTCGATCACTGCAGAGTCCCCAACATGGCCTAGCACTGGGCCAGCCACAGAAGAGGAGTTGAATGATGAGAGTTCCAGCCCAAGCTCTGAACTGACCTGTTTTTCAAAGTGAGGGCCGCAGACCTTCAGCATCAACACAGGAGCCTGATGACAATGCATCATCCTGGGCCTGGTCCCAAACCTACAGAAGCAGAATTCCTGGAGGTGGGCCCAGGAATCTGCATTTCCTATAAGCTCCCCCAGCACGAACTAGAGCTGAGATCTTCTGCCTGTGGCCACCACAATCTGCCCAGTTTATGATCCCATCTAGACCCCAACACCCTCCCAGCTCAACAACCCTGCCCTATATCACAGGGAGACCCCCCACGAAACGGTGGTAATGGTGGAACAGTACAACTAACACCTTTTAAGCACTATGTGCGTTTCTAGGTGCTGAGTTCTAGATCCACTTGAAGCCAACACTCTAGTGAGGGGCGTCTAAGAAGCCCAGTGGATATAAACAAACACTAACATATGTCAGGTAATGGTAAACCTTATGAAGAAAAGTAAAGCCAGGTGGTGAAGGGCCAGAGGATGGCAGGAGCTATTTTAGTTTGGGTGGTCAGCGAGGGCCTGTCTGTGGAGTTGACATTTGAACAGAGACTTGAAGGAGATGCCACAAAGGCATCTGGGGGAACTCAATGCAGACAGAGGGGACAGCAAGTACATTCCCCAAGTGGGGATGTATTTGCTATGATTGAGGGACAGCAAGGGGGCCAGGGTGGCTGAAGCAGAGTAAGTGGGATTGGTGGGATTTGAGAGCGGCGGGGGGGCGGGGAGCTGGATCAGGTGGGGCCTTGTAGGCTTGACAAAGGCTTTTACTGCGTGAGATGGGAGCCATGGGAGGGTCTGAACAGGGGAGCAACATGATCTCACTTCTGTATTAACTTGACCGCAGGGTCAAGGGCAGAGGCATGGGACCCAGTGAGGAGCCCACTGCAAAACATCAGGTAAGGACAGGTGATGGCTTAGGCCAGAGCAGTAGCAAGGGAGGTGGTGAGACACGGCTGGATTCTGGATGTGTTTTGAAGGCAGGCCTGTGAGATTTGCTGATTGACAGTATGTGGGTGAAAGAACAGGGAGGAGTTAACGACAACTCCAAGATTTCTGTCCTGAGTACCTGGAAGGACGGGACTGCCATCAACTGGGTTTGGAGGTTGAAGGGGGAAAACGCCAAGTTTAGTTTGGGACAAGTTTTTAAAGTCTGTATGTCAGCTGGACTTCCAAGTAGAGAAGGGCCAGCCATTGGACATATGAGTCTTGAGTTCAGAGTAGATATCCCGACTGGAGATAGACTCTTGGAAATATCATTACATAAAGAGCATATGAAGCCAGGAGACTGGGTGAGGCCACAAGGTGAATGGTACAGACTGAGAAGAGAGGAAGTGATTCTACTGATGATGAAGCTGAGGCACAGAGGGTTAAACAACTCACCCAGTGGCAAAGCCAGTGGCAAAGCCAGCATTCTCGCTCAGGCAACACAACGCCAGAGCCCACACTCTTAGCCACCGGTAGGGTTAAGAAGTTTAAGAGTTAATTCACATAATACACTTGGTAGGTGCCTGGCACATAGTAAGCCTTCAGTAAACGCTACGTGTATCATAAGCTTTCACACCTCATCAAAGCACACCCTCATCCTTGGAGTTCTCAATATTGTTCTGCACCTGCCCTCCACCCAAATCAAAGGTTTAACTGATGGCAGGGACTTCCACCACTCCACAATGCTCTATAATAACCCTCTGCCTTAAAACCTCCCATTAAATCGCAAGGCTATCTTACAAGGACATTTCTATATTTTACCATCTTCTGTCTCCTACTTTACACACTTCCCCCTTTAAAGAGCCTCCTGCGAAACAGAAAACGCCCCCCGCCTCACATACTGCCCTCTGCCTCACAACTCTACCCCTGTTAAAGGGCAACCCCTCCCGATTCTCATACTGCCAGTTCTGCTGCCTGCCCAGCCCACTCTCCCCCCAGAGCACCCCCCTCCCCCCAGGATCGCTACCCCAGCCCGCGCACCAACTACTCTCGCCGCCTCTCACCTTCTCCACGGACAACACTCCTCGCGAGCGGTTCAACTGCCGAAGCTCCAGCCCCGCCCCAGGATCCGGCCTTCTCGCTTCTGATTGGTAATGGCTTAATCGCAGCCAAGTTCCCATTAGTCAAAACAGACGCCCGTCACTATAGCCCGCCCCAGAGAAGAACCCGCCCTCCAATGCTTGCAATTGGCCAACTCAGAAGAGAGGCTCCGAAATGGGTCGGGTCGTCAGTCTTCTCTCCAATCACTACTGGCCGGAAACTACTGCCAGTCATACAAAGAAGGTTGTTCCTCTGAGAGGGGAGGGAATCCCGGAAGTAGCTCTTTGACTCCGCCCGTAACCCCCTGCGGCAGAGCAGGCCACGCCCACGCGGAGGGGCAGGCTGGAGGAGAGTGTCCGACGCGCCTGCGCAGAGGAACGTCTTGGCTGAGGGTACAGAAGATGCGGAAACGTTCCTGAAGACTGGTTGAGATTTATCATCGTTCAGTGCGTTCCAAGCCTGCACTTAGCAGTTTGCAGGCCTTGGCTTATTGATAGTTAGCAGTAACCATGCAGTGTAGGGGCTATTATGATCCCCATTTTGTCACTAAGGAAACAGGCTCAGAGAGGTACAGCCACTGGCCTGGGATCACACAGCTTGAAAACTACCCCTATTTTGGCTTATGAGTCATCAATAGGGACGATACAGTTTATAGAATTTGATGGGGGAGTAGGGGAGGGGAGCGTTCTTTAAGGAAAGGAATACAAAATCACTAACACAAAACTGGGTATGAACATGAAAATTTACTTAGAATATGATATGAAATAATTGTTATTGTACTTTTAATATTGTTATTGTTACTTTTAAATGGTACATATTTAAAAGAGCTGACAAATACCACAAACATTGCAAAATCCCCAAAGATAAGATAATGTTTTTATTAACTTACTACCTGACACACCTCTGTGGTATGTTTCCTACTTTTCTGGCTGCTTATACTTATTTCATAATATCCTGATCTGCAGAGAGAAGAGAAAAGTAAATTATCTTTCCTCTGCATACTTGATGGAACTTTTTTTAGTCATTATCATTTAGAAAAAGTTCAGCTTCACAAGTCAGTATTGGTGATGTCATCTAAGTTTTTTGGAAATTTGTGAAAACTTTCATAAAGTTTAACTCATGTAAGCTACATGTTTTGGAAGATGTTTCCACAGACTAGCTTCTAGCTCAGTCCTTTTAATTCTTGACTCTCTTTCATTATGCAGGTGCTTCTGGAGTAGACCACAAGAGGACCATTCATACCACAGCAGACTGGCCTTGTAACTAGTCAGTTAGCACCCTGGACAATAAGATTATTCTGGAAGCCATTCCAGACACCAGGACAACTAGTTAGGTAATTTAAGTACAGCTGAAAGTGTCTATGAACCACATCAGAACATCCCATGGAACCCGACCTAAATGTATCCTCAACTCACCTTCCCCTCACCTAGATCCCACCAGTAACCAAGGTGACTCTAGCCCCACCCGTGGTAGAGAGAAATGCAACAGGGGGACATAGAACTGGGAAAAACCAGTGGTCTTAACCAGCTGCATTTTAAATACCTTCCTTTTGCAAATCTTACAAAAACATCAGCCCACAGGAACACCTTGCTAGGGCCATGGAAGGGCCTATGCAAATCAGGGGCCCTGAAGCTTATGTGAGCTTTACTATAAATCCACTCTGAATACCTGTCATCATGCATCTATTGAATTGAATGTCCACTGTGTGCCAGAGACTAATGCCAGAAATCCTGCCCTGAAGCATAATAGCTCATCCTGACACTGCCACCAACTGGCTGTGGGGACCCCCTCCCTCTCTGGGTGTGAGTTTTCCCACCTATAGATTGAGTATTGCTAAAAGACTAACATTTGGGGTTATTAGGAGGCCCCAACATAAAGTCCACTAAAGAGTCCTATTAAGAACTTGTGGGGGTGGGGGGCTTCCCTGGTGGCGCAGTGGTTGAGAATCTGCCTGCCGATGCAGGGGACACGGGTTCGTGCCCCGGTCCGGGAAGATCCCACATGCCACGGAGCAGCTGGGCCCATGAACCGTGGCCGCTGAGCCTGTGCATAACGGGAGAGGCCACAGCAGTGAGAGGCCCGCATACCGCAAAAAAAAAAAAAAGAACTTGGGGGTTTGCAATCAGAGAGACCTGGATTAGAATCCCAAAGCATATGGAAAAAAAATAATCTCTCAAGGCTTCCTCTTACCAGCTTGGGACTGTCCATAAGCCATACGTCTTCTGTGAGCTTCGCTTTCTTCATCTGTAAATGGAGTTCAGTGCATTCATTCATTCATCAACTGTTTACTAAACACCTGCTATATTCCAGGCACTTTTTTATATTCCAGACACTATGTGCTGAGAGTAGGTACCTCAGTGAACAGGCAGAAAAAGCCCATGCTCTAGTGAAAGTGAGACAAACAATAAAATGCAAATAAATAAATGTCAGGTGGTGATAAGTGCTGTGGAGAAAATAAAGCAGAGTAAAGGGGACAGGATGGTCAGAGAAGTGTCTCAGCGAAGCTGGCTTAGAGCAGAGACCGGAAGTAAGTGAAGGAACCAGCCTTGTGGTCCAGGGGTAGAGCATGCCAGGAAAAGGAAACAGTGAGTGCAAAGGCCTTGAGGTTGGGAGCATGCCTGATGCATTTAAAGAACAGTGAGGGGACTCCCCTGATGGTCCAGTGGTGAAGACGTGGCACTTCCGCTGCAGGGGACACGGGTTCAATCTCTGGTTGGGGAACTAAGATCCCACATGCGGCACAGCCAAAAATTAAAAATAAATAAAAAATAAAGTCTTTAAAAAAAAAAAAAAGAACAGTGAGGAGGTCAATATTGAGTGACTGGGAATGTGGTGGAAGAAGTCTGGGAGGGATCCAGAAGCCAAGTTGTGTAGGGTCTTAAAAGCCATTGTGAGGTCTTTGCTGTGAGTGAGAAGGGACCCACTGAAGGTGGAGGGCAGCAGGGGCATAATTTTACTCATGTCTTGAGCAGTCATACTCTGTTAAGAATAGGCTGTTAGGGCTTCCCTGGTGGCGCAGTGGTTGAGAGTCCGCCTGCCGATGCAGGGGACACGGGTTCGTGCCCCGGTCCGCGAATATCCCACGTGCCGCGGAGCGGCTGAGCCCGTGAGCCATGGCCGCTGAGCCGGCGCGTCCGGAGCCTGTGCTCCGCACGGGAGAGGCCACAACAGTGAGAGGCCCGCGTACTGCATTAAAAAAAAAAAAAAAAAAAAAAAAAAAACAAGAATAGGCTGTAAGAATAATTCCAATGAGATAAAATGGTACAACCTGGGAAAAACATTTTGGCAGTTCCTCATAAAGTTAAACATACAATTATTTAATGACCCAGCAATTTCACTCCTAGGTATATACCCGAGAGAACTGAAAACTTGTGTTCAAACAAATACTTTCCATGAATCTTCATAGCAGTACCATTCATGATAACCAAAAGGTGTTAACAACACAAGTGTCTATCAATAGATGAAAGGATAAACAAAATACGATCTATCCATACAATGGAGTATTATTCAGCTATAAAAAGGAACGGAGTACTGATCCATGCTACAACATGGATGAACCCTGAAACACTGTGTTAAGTGAAAGAAGCCAGACACAAAAGGTCACATATTGTATGATTCCGTTTGTATGGAATGTCCAGAATACGCAAATCATAGAGACAGAGAGCAGATTAGCAGTACCAGGGACTGGAGTTGGGAGGTGGAAAGGAGGGGAATGGGGAATCATTTAATGGGTGTGGGGTCTCCTTTGGGGAGGATGAAAATGTTTTGGAACTAAATAGAGATGATGTTTTCACCACATTGTGAATGTATGAAATGCCTTTGGTCTGTGCCCTTTAAAATGGTTAATTTTATGGTGTGTGGCTTTCGCCTCAATAAAACAATCTTTTAAGCAAAAGATTACCAAAAAATCATTCAAACGAGAGATGATGGTGGCTTTTCTGAGGGTGGTAGCAGTGGAGGTGGAAAGACGTGGTTAGAATCTGCATCTATTCTAAAGGTAGAGCTGACAGAATTTGCTGATGGATTGGGTGTTGGGAGGAAGAGAAAGGGGAGTCAGAAATGATTGCAAGGTTTTTGAGCTGAGAAGCTGCCAAGATGAAGTTTCCATTTATTGAGATTAGATGAATAGCAGGTGCGGGAGGCAGGGGAAGAGTGGGGATCGAGAGTTCGGTTTGGGATGCATTGAGGTACCTAATAGATTTCCAAGTGGAAGTGTTGAGAGGGTAGCTGAATAGATGAGTCTGAATTCAAGGGTGAGGTCCAACCTAGATAGATAGATAGGTAAGTAGATAGATAGATAGATGAATGCTTTGGGGAGGCCATCCCCAAAGGAGTGAGTGGAGAGAAAAAAAGAGAAGAGGACCAAAGACTGAGCCCCAAGACCCTCCAATGTTTAAAGACCCCAAAGATGAGGAAGAAACAACAAAGGAGTCTGGGAAGGAACAGCCACTGAGATAGGAGGGAATTCATGAGAGTGGGGTGTCTTAGAAGTCAAGGGATGAAAATAAACCTAGGAAGAGGGTGTGACTGTCTGAGAGAAGGCTCAGGTAACGTGTGGGCAGGGCACTGAACTATTAAATTGAGCCATAGGGAGGTTCCTGATAACCTCAAGGGGTGATTTGGCCAAGTGGGGGAGCCAAACCCTAACCGGAGTGATTCAAGAAGGACTGAAGGAAAGGAATTGGAGATATTAGCACAGATAACTTTTTTGGCGGGTTTTGTTGTTGTAAAAAGCAGCACATCATTGGAGCTGCAGCTAGACGGGGTTAATAAAGCTTGTTTGTATTACACCGTGTTTTTACACCAGTGGGAATGATCCAGAAGAGAGGG